CTTCAGGCTGTAATAGCTGCCCCTTCCACCTTTGTGTATTTGTCTAATTTGGTTTGATTACTAGGCATGATTTCAATTTGCTCGAATGAAAAGGCTTGTTAATAGCCACTTATTTTAATGTGGTGCTAGGATATTGCAACTAAATTGAAGAAAAACATGGGTGTGGTCATCCTCTCTCAAGAACACATGTAAACAGATCATCTCACAGCTGTGCTATAAGCATCTGCTGAGCACAAACATGCTTATTACTGTAGTTGCCGGCTTGGCATCCGCTGAGCTTTTTCTGGGGAGGTATGCTGCTTGAAAGGTATGAAAATCATACACCTACGTATCAGTTACAGGAAGAGCAGTAATGAGGAAATTGGTAATCTCAGCTGCTATTAGTAGATTTCTGAATCTACTACAGGCTTTGATTTTGTATCTGATGAAAAGGAATAACAAATTAAGAGATAATTAAGTAATAAATACGTCAAGAAACTGCAGGTGTTCATTTCTAGATATAAATTTGACAAAACTATGAGATGAGGCATAATTACAATAACTAGCCATCTCAAAAACAGCTTAAAAACTTAAAGAAATTGTTTAGAATTTTGGAAAATATGCTTAATTGAAATGAGAAGATCAATCAATCTTGCGTCTGTACGGTAAATATGAAGCTACTGCTGGCAGCTGGTTAGCTTAACTTTGTACAAAGACTGGATATGAAGAAAACAGCTTGCCTAGCTCTGCCCAAAGGTAAAAAAAATGCATCCAACAGTTCATCTAAAGCTCAGTAAAATGTTGTGTCTTTTTTTTGTTTAAACCGTACTAAAAATGAAGTATAAAAACATTAAGTTGTGGTTGTGAGGGCTTGTGTGCTGGAATATTTCTTGGCCTGGTGCAGTGACTTCCTTTGAGGTGATGGTTGGTGGATTTTGTTGCCTTTACTGGAGGCCAGGCTAGCTGTTTCCAGTCTTTGTGCTAAGCTACGCTAACAGGCTAATAGTTGATATTTAGCTTACAGATATGAAGGTTGTTTTCCAAGGTCGACTGTACATGATAATATACAGTAATACATACAGTATATATTGAAAAAGAAAGTGAGATCTTTAACTTATTAAAAACATTAGTCAAAACCCATCAAATATTAACTGAAGCCTAAAATAGCTATATATATTATATAAGATACAAATAGTATATTTACTAATATTGCCTCTTGTGATAGAAATGCCCTGTCTCTTATCTTAAAATTGTGAATTACATTATTTTGCCTATAATAATTTCTTTGTTCTTACTGAAAGTAGAGAAGAGAAAGGATGAGGGAAGATCAGATAACAAACACTTTAGAGGACATCAAAGCACGCCCCTTCCTTAGCCTGGCCTAAGCAAGGAGAACTGATGAAAAAATAATGATGATAAAAAAAATACACTGAAAAAAAAGCTCATCCTAATATTTAGGCTTTAAATTCAATGACACATATTATTTCTGCCACTGTGGTGAAATGATACTACTTGTGTCCAGTGATTTGTTTACAATTGTTTCTACAGGATGTCTTGCTACAATTGCAAAACACCTAGAAAATGTTGTTTCTGTTGTAAAAAAACAGAGGTTACTGTAGGTTTCCTGCTAAGAAAAATCAATACTTGAACTTGTTGGAATGGCTTTTTTTGCTGTATATCTTGGAAAAAGGAAGGCAGTAACAATATCTGGTGAACAAACCACATGCAGTGTCTTCATTATGTCCAGACCAAATGTGTCTGCTACATACTCTCTGTTTGCATAATGAAAAGAATAGACAACAGATCTGCCATCATGACTACTGAGAGACAAAGAATGCTATCAGTCTGCAACAGCTGTGCATTAGAGCACAATCACTGCTGGAAGGACTGAAGCCGGCCTGCTTGGAGAATTGCACTGTAAGCAACTGAGACAGACTAGACAACCTGGCCAAACTATTGCAAAGCCCGAAGTCGTCTGCAGTCCATTATGCTTGTGCAGATAAAAGCTTTAGTATAGTCCTTGCTTAAACAGAATGAATGCCAGCGAAGCACGTTCAAAAAGCTCACACATATTCTAGACGAACACAAACTCAGTCTCTACTTGAGTATTAGAAAGCAAGTTTGCTTTTCCAGATTCCCGTCTAGGGTAGTAGTAGCAGTCCAGTGGTCTAATCAGCCAGAAGTGTTCTCCTGAGTGAACAGCAGCCTCAGGCTGATCAGAAGATGTGAGGCTCCCTGTGTCTCAAACTGCCAGATTTGCTCTGCTGGTGTCAGACATGACTCTGCTCCGACAGCCACACTCGCTTGTTGGCCTTTAACATCACACCGCTAAGTAACTACAGTCTCCCTGATGGCAAATGCTCTACTGCAGATTAGCCAATTCTCTATTACAGCCTGAGTGGGTTTGTTGGTTCGCATGGGACACATTTGACCATTATTCCAGAGCAGCACCAACACTCATGTTGCAGTCTTTATAAGCCATGTTAGATACAACAGTTAACCAAAACTACCATTACATACATACAAGTACCATTATTATGAACAGTTAAAGGACCATACCAGCATTTCTGCTTCTGTCTGTCCATAGTGCTATAACGATTAGTAGATTAATCAGCCACTATTTTGATAACTGATGAATCGTTCCAGTCATTTTTTTAAAACCAAAAATTATTTTCTTTTATGACATTGTAAACTTAATAACTGTAGGTTTTGGACTGTTGGTCAGACAAAACAAGCAATATGAAGACGTCACTCTGGGTTCTGAGGAATTGTAAAGGGCATTTTCGTAGGCTAAATGATTAATCAATGAATCAAGACAATCATCAGCAGATTAATCCTTGAAAATAATTGTTGGTTATAGCCCTAAAAATCACATTTATGTTACTGCCACCATTTACCTAATAAGTAAAACACATTGGTTTTGTGAATGTGCGCTTTTAAGCAGCCACAGAGTTTCCCTTCATTTCCATTCAATATGAAAATGAACTTGCAGAAACATAAAACTGGCTCTGATAAAGTTATCAATCACAGTGAACGTCATGCATGCTTTTACTACTGTCACGGATGTGTTATTGATGAGTGGTAATGCAGTGGAGCCTATTCAAAACAGGCCTCACTTAACAACTGCATTACTAACTGGCAATAAAGTAACACATGACAACAATAAAGCAGAGTTTATGTTCACTGTGATGGATTGCATACATACTTGAGGAAGGTAGAAAGTCTGTGCAAGTTAATTTTCCCAAACTTGGATGTTATGACACGCAGAGAGAAAACGCTTGTAGCAAAAGTAGATATACTGTGGTGCTTTGCCTTACATGCTTTCACAGAATCGGGCAAGTGTGCTGGGCTTCTCCTGGTTGCGGCGTTGTCTGAACCAGCGCTGGATGGTCCGCACATCCCAGTCTAACTGCTTGGACAGGCCCTCCAACCTCTTCTCATCTGGGTGCTTGCAAGACAAGACAAACGCTCCACATGTTAAATGCTGCACAAATGTTATGAGATGAAACACATCATTAAAAAATAACGAAGAGAACACATGCACCACCTTGGTTATGGCAGTGAAAACCTTCTCCAGGATAGCATTGGGCTGTGCTTTTTGTGGCCCGTTGGCTTGGATCTTCAGGCCCATGGCACATGGTCTGGCAATAAACCTGCAATTAAAATATCATGACACCCTTTCAGATCAACACGGGCAGAATCTTTGAGATGATTTTAAAGTGAATTGTGCTTATTCTTTTATTCTACCTGGACATGTCAATGTTTTGAATACAAATGGTCTTCCACAGGTCATCTTGAGGAAGACCACTTTTGGTTGAAAGTTTGACATTACCACATAGAATAAAAGAAAAAGTGGGAACAACACAGCACTGTAAATACATCTTTTCTGTCATTTTGACACAAGGCATTTGGCATTATAAACTCCTTTATGAATCATGTGCAGTCAGCAAATGTCTGATGACTTTTGGTAAAACACTTGAAGTTTTGGCAAGCAGTGATGGAGGGATAGTCAAATAGCGACTAAATAAACAATATGCAATGAACACTTTCAAGATATATGCATAATCTATTTAACACCTACAGGTCATACATTAGGACTTTTATGGGCTCTGTTTCAGAATCACTTTATTATTTAAGATACCATATTTTCATGGATAAACAGGAGTGGGATGGTTTAGTGGGAACATTTAAGGCCTCACTCACTACTCCCTAAAGAGACTTCTGACCCACATATGCATGACAAGCATTGCTGTAACCATCATGACCCTGTGCTTTACTATATATCAGTGATTGTGCAATAAGAGTCACAAATAGGATGATGCAACATAATGCAAAAACACCCGGATTAATGAAAAAGAGCCTGTCACTTGAAAGCATGACACTTTGCTGAAATTCTGGTTTGAGCTGAGAGCAGAGTAACTGGATTTGGGCAGGTACAGCAACTTGGCTCCACTGTGACTGCACTGAGAGAGATGCATCAAAAGCAGACAGGGCATATAATGCTGCAGGCCTGCCGAAAGAACGGTGATCAACTCCGGTGATTTGTGGGCTAACCAGATAAGATGCCATTGTTTAGGTAGCAGACTGGCAAACATGGACAGCGGAGTGCTGCATCATTCACCGGAACATTTCATCGACAAAACAAACCGTATCACAGCCACCTGGATTATCGCGTGCGCTTAGACCCACCTTTCGAAAACCAGCCGTATCATAAAGATGCAGAATGCTAAAGGACACGCCAGATAAAGATCCTCGGCTTGCGGGAACGTTGCCTCATCTGTGTTTTTTAAGTCAGCCCAGGTTACATTATGCGGGAGCCAGAACCTCTCGTTCCAAAACCACGCCAAGATCCCGGCCATCTCCCTGCAGCAGACACTGTGACCGGGTCGAAAGAGATATCAACGACCCGCTGTATCTCGGAGGTCTCTCACGGGCGATCTGACCGTGCAGACTCGGCTGATGATGAGATATCCGTGCGAGATCGCTGTCCGTCCTTTTCCTCTCAGCTATTCGAGTGTAGGGAAGTAGACTCAATCAGCTCCTCCGCAAGTGATTGGTGCGTTGAAATGTCATGCAATACAGTCGGTGTACGTTATGCCGGCTGTAGCACGGCGTAATCAAGGTAAACCACTGTTTGTATCGCACCTTTAGAGTAATACTCAACCTAACGGCGCAGTTAGGTTTCCTTATGAACTGGCTTTTTGTTTTTTGTTATTTCTTTTGTTTTACACTCTTGCCGTTATATTATGGTAGGAACCCCACAGTAATGTACTCACCAGGTCGTGTCACCTTTAGTGTAATATTATTGCACTCAAACTCATAATCAATTTCAGTAAAACTGAAAATTAAGTGCAATTAATACAGCAACACGTAAGCAAAGGACTTCAAGACAACACTGTGATTGGTAAACCACGCCACCTACTGACAGTTTTGATTTTGTGATCAGTAGACAAACCTGGCCTGGTATGTAACATTTGCCATGAATTAAATCTGTTCATACTATAATAATATAATGAAATGGTGTCCAGTCATTTATATCATGTATGTTATAAGGAAAAACAATTAAACAGACAACAAAATGTGAAAGTTAAATAAAAAATATATTTAAAACAATTGAATATCCTTCATGAAGATAGTTTTTTTTGCATTAGTTTAAGTTCAGTGTAAACTGGCAATTCAGTTTAATCATGAACACAGAACAAAATAAGAACAAGATTTTTTTGTTTTATATATGCAGTATTACTAATATGATACAAAACATTATTTTAATGTTATTTAGTATTATAATAGATAAACTCCATATTTTTCTTCATGCCAGAGGTAAGGATTCTGTTGATTTTAATAGACACACCATGTAATTTAGGCCTAACAAATAGGGAAGGAACTAATGATAATTTTTCATTCATCTGATTCATCTACCGATTATCCTTTCGATTAATTGATTGGTCTATAAGAAAAGAGTGAAAAGCTCCGACCGCAATGTCCTGGAGCTTAAGATGTCATCTTCAAATAACTTCTTTATCTCACACCAACAGTCCAAAACCCAAGGATATGTCACATGAAACAAAGGGAGCAGGAAATATCCACATCTGAGAAGTTGGTTATTAACCTGTTGACATACTGATTAGTCTTATCGTTTTCAGCTCTAATAACAAATTTCTACGAATGTTCAGTTCTGTGGTGTTCAGTATAGAGCAATGGCGACTGCTTCGCCTCCCAGTCATCACAACACAATATAAAAGTGTGACGGCGCCATCTTCTGGCTCTTGCTAACAACGTCACATGTTTTCTGACTGCATGTGACATGGTAAATCGTCACACATACGTGTTATTGTCTCACGCAAAGCAGCTGCCAAGTCGTTTTATCTGAACATCTGAATGAACTCCCACATAGTATTTAAACATAGTAGTTTGCTTAAAATATTAACTAAAAACACAAAATTAGTTATAATCTGGATTGCAGCCATTAGAACCTCCTGGTAGTTATTTTAAAGATGAGTAAATGGTGATTTTAATTACTGTCTTCCTGTGTGTATCGTGTACTTAACTTGCATGTCACTGGTATGGTTATAATGTGCGCGCGCGCGTGTATGCGGTCCGTTATTTTCCGGGTTGTGCTCATCGTTAGCAGCAGTTGCTCTGCCTCAGCCGCCAGCTGACACTTTTACTGAGGAGGTGAGGTCAAATTTGATTCTCTCTCTCTCTCTCTTACCCTCTCCCTCCCTCCCTCTCTCTCTCGGTGTGTCGGCCTGTCTGTCTGTGAGAGAGGCAGCTAACTAGCGCAGAATCATCATCATCATGGCGGTTCAAGGCGAATCTCCGGCTCCCGTCCACCACCCGCAACCAGCGCTGACAACCAGCTGGCCAATAACCAGGGAGTCGTACGAGCTGCAGGAAGTCATAGGTTAGTGCCCGGAGATGTGATGGACGCTTTATATTATCATGGAAAGGCACGCAGCGGCGGGTTATCAGCTGTGACTGACGATGAGGGCCTACCGGCTTTTTCATTTGCAGTAGCCTCCTGCAATGCTTTGCAATGCGGATGTTAACAGGCACATTTAGACACTACCGGTCTACAGCAGTTTATGTTTCTGTCCTGACGAGGCCGAGTCAGCTGAAGTGCAGGTCACTACACGTTGTTGAAAATGTCACATTCCCTAAGTGCGTTTTCAGTGGCTCGGATACTAGGAGACTTTATGGCACGTTTATGGCACGTGTCCAGTTTATTAGCCATCACCAAAATCACAGATGCTATGGCTGTGTAAAATCCACAGTGTGCTTCAGTTGTATTATCTGTGATGGCATGTAAACATTTATTAAGCCTATCGCATCATCTCGAGTGGGCACTGTTACAAATGTAGCATGGACGTATCATTACAATAATGCAACTAATAATAATGTTTATAAAAATAATAAAAGTAGGCTAATTATAATTATAGTAACAGTGACAATAGTAGTCCTTATAATATTTCTAATTTTACATCACTAAAACATTTGAGTTACCCAAAAGAAAAAGTGAGAGGTTACTATTATTTTCTTGATTAATCTGGTGATCATTTTATCATTTATCATCAAGTTTAAAAAATGGCGATTATAGTTTCTCAGAGCCAAATAGTGGTGTCTGAAAATGTGCCTTTTATGTCCCACCAACAGTCTAAAACTCAAAGATATTCAAGACAAAACAAGACAAAATCAGAAAATCCTCACTTTGGAGAAGCTGGAACTAACACATTTTTGCATAATGATTAAAATATTAACTGATTACTATTACTATATTACTAATAGTTGGTGATTTCTTTTATGTAATCTATTGATTGTTTCAGCACCTGCTCCCACAATAGCTATGGATCAGAGGCTGTGAATTTACACATGTTCACTCATTTGTTAAGCCTTGTTTGTATATATACCTAGAATAAAAACAAGCCTTAAAAATAGCCATCATGTGTTTTATGTACCCTGTGGGTACATCTTTTCCGGACTGTGGATATTCCCGTTGTAGATTTATGGAATAATTATTTGTGCTGCAGAATTGTCTTTTGGAATTTCTTACTGTAATTCAATATTTTTAGTTTAAGTTCTGTGTCCATGCGTAAGTCACAGAATGCTCAATTTTAGTGTTGTCCTGAATCATTTCATTTCATTTTAGAAATATTAGATACTAAATAACAATGAAAATGTCAAATGCACTGAAAAAATGCAGAAGGAAGTTCCCTAAATATTTTTGGCAAGTGCATGCACTGTGCAGATGAGCTGACTAGTCATATCATTACTGATAAGAAATATCAGCACAGCTGTGTGCTGCTGACTGTGATGTGTTAGTGAGACCCCCCCCACCCCCTGTTCTCATAATCAGCTGGTAAGCAGTCAGATCTCATGTGTTTTCGTCTTCCCCTTATCTCCTGCTAACAGTTGGCAAGCAATATGCTGTGTGTAATAGCTTCTTGGTGTGAACTTTCTTACTCCAGCATGGCCTGATTTGTAATGACTAAAGTAAACAACTCATCATGCTGGAAAAGAAGAGTGTTGTACTCTAAGTCAGCTCATTGTGTGTGATGTTTCATCCAGCACACATGAAAGATGAATACCATAACATAAATACAAAAAACAGCGGAACAGAATTTCAGACAAATAACATAAAGTCACAGAGCGATGTTAAATTTAAGAGTCGTCTTCCAGCTGTGTTTGCTGCTGTGAGTCCCTACTTTGCTCATTTCCACTTTGTCATTGCTCTGTTGTGGCTGTGATTCCAGGCAGCGGGGCCACAGCTGTGGTACAGGCAGCCCTCTGTACCCCCAGACAGGAGCGCGTCGCCATAAAGAGAATAAACCTGGAAAAATGCCAGACCAGCATGGATGAGCTATTGGTGAGTACAATAAATATAGGCTTACTTTCGCTGTGTTTTTGTACCACTCTCTAAATCTGTACTAATACTTTCCCTCTGATCCATATTATTATTGTTATGTGTAAGTCCTTATAATTAAATGCACCTAAGAGGATGTAATACTGATAATTTGCTGTGAGGTCGCATATTCTGACATATATATCAATTTACTGATTCCTGTTTATTACTACAAAGAAAATACAAATGCATTTAAATCTTTAACATAATTTGACTCGCCATATCCTTTTGTTCTCTCTCACACATTAGAAAGAAATCCAAGCAATGAGCCAGTGTAACCATCCCAATGTTGTCACCTACTACACCTCCTTTGTAGTAAAGGATGAACTTTGGTTAGTCATGAAGCTTCTGAGTGGAGGTAAGCTGCATGGCCAAAACCTACCTCTGGCTTTATAATATATGAATGCTCCATGAATGTGATGATACTACATGTTTATGCTTTGATCTGCTGATAACTAGGTAACAGCTACATGGGTTGTAACTCACCTATACCGCAGTTGTGTAAAAAAGTGTCATACAGAATATACTTTATGTCTATTTGCTACATAAATTAGAATCATATCTTTTATCTGTTTATATCCAGTTAATAAAAGGGACAACTGGAATAAGACAGAAATCCAATGATTGTCTAAAAGTTTAGTTTTTTCTTTTCATAAAACAATCAGAAAGTACTTCAACCACTATTTCCAGTGATGTATCCGAAAGAACATCATATTTAAATCCTTGAAAAGTCATTTTTCAGCACAGTGTTTTTATTTTAGGCGGGCTTTATTACGGTTAAGCAGTAGCACGCTCTTGCATGCTACAATAAATAACATCTGTGGTCTGATTATGTTCCTTTGCACATCTTTCGGCTTTCACTGGAAGGAATAACAGCAGTGATGTTACTCACTATAATGTGCTGCCTATTATATTTTACTGTTTAAAGGACAACAAGCACATTAACAGACAATGAAGGAATTGCGCATGGATATTATATAATGTAATGACTCAGTGTAGCACTGCAGCTCATTTGTGTTTCTCATTAATATGTGAAAAATTAACTGCATATTTTTTGTCTTTTTAGGCTCTATGCTGGATATAATTAAGCACACAAGCAAAGATGAGGACAGAAATCGAGCGCTAGATGAGCCCATTATTGCGTCTATATTAAAAGAAGTCCTAGAAGGCCTGGACTATCTGCACAGAAATGGACAGATTCACCGGTAACAGTATTAACACTTTAACTTGTTGATGACTTTTTCTGAAGTTTTGATATGAGTTTTTGATTAGTTTATTATAAGAATTACGAAACCTGTTTTATAAGAACGTAGCAGTAGCAATGCCAGATATGCCATTATAAAGGAAGATAAAATTTAATCTCCCCACTGAAAGATGCTCTGTATAAGAGAGTTAAACAAATGGCTAAATTTATAAGTGAACGTAACATTAATTCATTATTTACTGAAAGGCAGTGTAGCTGTGGTGTTCTCTAAATTCCATGCATTTCAAGGTCACTGAGAGGCAGGCTCTATCAGCCCCTTGGGCAGAGTCCCAGATGGTGGTGGGCTGTGGGACTAGTTTACACAAACAGAAGAATCAATGCTGCTCCACATGGCTCTGTTGTTTGACTATGTTTATGTTGTGTTGACCTCAGGGATGTGAAAGCTGGGAACATACTACTGGGAGAGGATGGATCTGTTCAGATCGCAGGTGTGGGAGAATGATAATATTTGTATAATATTTGTTGATCCATCCATCCATCGTCAACAGCTTATCCTGCGTACAGGGTCGCGGTAATATTTGTGGATGTGATATTTAAATGGTTTGACCAGTATGTGTCAGTATGTCAGTATGAAGCCTTAACTTCAGCCATGTCATCTCGACATACCCATTCAACGATTTTCTGTATTAGGTATGAGCGATGTGTTATTTATCTATATTTTTAGATTTTGGAGTAAGCGCATTCCTCGCCACAGGGGGGGATATGACTAGAAACAAAGTACGAAAGACTTTTGTTGGCACGCCATGCTGGATGGCGCCGGAGGTGATGGAACAGGTGAGTCTTCCTCTATACATGCAAAAACTTCATACATCATATTTCTTTCAAAATGCATTTTTCTGCGCTTGCTTCTGCTGTGCTTAGTGCTAATCCACATCTTCATGTAATGCTATTAGCTGAAGTATTTTTGACATGTTAGCCACTTAAATCACAACATTAACATAAAGCTCCAGAGACTGAAGTGTATTTGATATTACATTATTATATTGTTATTTTATACCCACAGGTTCGAGGCTATGATTTCAAAGCAGATATATGGAGTTTTGGAATTACAGCCATAGAGTTAGCAACAGGCTCTGCACCCTATCACCGCTACCCTCCCATGAAGGTGAGTGTTATAATCAGTGTAATCAGTGTGGTGTCCTAATCACAGCTACTCTGGTAGCTTTCCTGAAACAACTTTTGTGAAGTTTCATCATTAGCAAGAAACACTTCGAGAAAACACATTCTGACCTTCTATTATTTCTGTAATTGGGAAACCAAACAATTAATGAAGAGGGTCTGGTGTATGTAAACTGTTTATACCTATTGCATTTACTTTCCACAACATTTCTACTACATTTTTTTTCTGCTATGAGTTTCTTTTCCTATCTACAATATTTGTGTGGCTGCTGAAATGTGGGGTAGGTTTTGATCATTTTCATTTCTGTCTTTTTAGGTTTTAATGCTTACCCTACAGAATGATCCACCCACTCTAGAGACAGGTGTAGAGGACAAAGAAGCGCTTAAAAAATACGGAAAATCATTTAGAAAGCTAATAAGTATGTGCCTTCAGAAGGATCCTGCCAAAAGGTTAGCACACCATTCCATATTGAAACCAGAATATTTCAGTGAAGAGAGCTGATGCAATTTGTGATCAATAAAAAGCCCCCGATTAACTTTCAGGAGGGCTGTGTTATGATGCATTTTCAACAACTGTACTTTTTTTTTATCTCTAGGCCTACCGCCGCAGAGCTTTTGAAGTGTAAATTCTTCCAAAAGGCCAAGGTATTTGTTTCATCTCAAATTTTTGACTTGCTGTCTTTGACCGGTTTTGTTATTAATGTGATGTATATATATTTTTTATTAGTTTATGATGGTTAAGGACACTGTATTTATCATATTATACTATTGCAGAAAGACAACGGAAAAAGGAAAACTGTCTCTTTTGTCTTGTATTCATGTAGTTAATCTTAAGACATTTTTGGGAAAAAGCAGTTTTAAATGTAGAACCAGAGCACAAGTAGGTTATTTGAAGGTAATTATTCTGTAACACAATCACTATGACTTTCTGGAGAATTTTCTTGGAGTATTTTCACATAAATACATGTTTAACATAATTATGGTTTACAAGGGTGTCCCGATGTTCTGGTTCAGAGGTAGGGGGGAAAAAGCTGTTCTGAGAATGTGCTGAGTCATTATGTGTATCATCAGTTAGTATCGTTAATGTTCATTTCATGAATGGGATTCAGCAGGACCAAGTTCTGCAACCTCATGGTATTGTTTTTACATATTTTATTAATATGTTTTGCTATTATTATTTATATTTTGATATTTCTCTTGCAGAACAAAGAATATCTGGTTGAAAAGCTTTTATATCGTGCACCAAAGATTTCCCAGAGAGCGAAGAAGGTATGTCTACACAAATATTCTCTGTCAAATATCTCCGTTATTGGCTAAACATGTACAAATTATGCTGGGCCTCGATTGAAGTCTCTCTCCCCACCATGCATAGCTGCTTTTACAGTCAACACAAGCTATGTGACTTTTTTATGCACCACAAACTCTTTATGCCCAAACTGTTGTGCAGATTATGTAAAAATATGGGCCAGTGCAGCATAAGAGTCACACTGCATAGATGCTCTGCACAGCTCTCTGCATGTGGCACAGTAGTAAAGACAAACAGGATTAAATGAATTGTTTTTATTAGGTGACAGAGAGGAGCACGTTGTTGTTCAGTTTGCTTGCTCAGTTGCCCCGCTGGACACAGTTTACTGGGAGGAAGTGCAGTTTTCAGGCACAGCCGATATTGGCTTTGCATAACACTCCGCCTGGATGGCCAAGAGAGAAATGGGAACGGAGGGCCATTCCCGGAAGGCAGAGTGGCTGCGTGCACTACTGTGTATGACGTTAACATTACGCACAGACAGGCCAGGGTGTCAATAAAGAGGGAGGCAAGTGTGAGAGTGGCATAATGTTCTTGAGGTCTGTGGATGGTTAATGTGTTAACCACAGATATCTAGTGGTCATAACAATTAATGGAAAGGTTCTTATTGCTAAATAGGCATGTGGATTTCCTACTAGTATGCTTTGTTAATATAGTGTGTTACAGTCACCCCTTTCCAATTTAAAGTGTATTTACAGTTGTCTCTGTAAAATTGTATTTAAAATGATGGCACTTGAATATACTTCAACAAACTACAACCTATATGCTGTGGAGTAATGCATTTTATCCCACATTGGAAATGCAAAATTACTGAATGCTTACTATAATTCCTCTGAAGCACAGGTAGATACAAGTGGCTTTGTTGCTGTTGGTTTATTTGAAGGCTTCTCTCCAAATCACTTACTGTAAATAATACACTTGGTTTTTATGTGTGGAGTCCTGTTAAAATGTAAAATAGACAGCATGCACAGTAACGCTAGGTCATGTCTGATTCACTTGATAGCTTTGGTGGATGAAGTGTATGAGCCACAGAGCCAGTGTCCTTGTTATTTTGTGCTGATTTGACCTACAGAGTCATCTACATTATACATTCAGCAAACATTTCCCAAAGCTTGTAGAGACAAGCAATACTGCAGAAACATTGTCATCTCAGGATGCTGGGACCTCTTTATATTCAGTTCAATTAAATTTTATTTATTTAGCGCCAATTCATTAATCTCATTGCACTTTTCATATAGAGCAGGTCTAGACTGGACTCTTTGTAATATTATTTACAGAGACCCACCATGAGCAAACACTTTGCAATGGCAAGGTAAAAGGGAGAACAGAACCTAGACTCAGGGTAGGCCGCCAACTGCCTCGACCGGTTGGGTTGGTTGTGTGTGTGTGTGTGTGTGTGTGTGTGTGTGTGGGTGGCAACACACAGAAGTAGCACAATGGAAGTTGTCAAAATAGAGATGTAAAGTAATAGTAATGGTTGTGATAATAATATTAATAAAAATGATAATGATAGCAATAGTATTGATTAACAATAACACAGGAAACAAGTACTACTACACTAAATGTAGTGGTAAGACTCAAAGCCAGACAGCTGATATAAAACCTTACTCTTCAAATTGTACTTTAATATGACCTAACTTCTCCTTGAACATACTCCAGTGAATGAAAAGGAGATGGCAGATCATCCGGTCAGCTGTCAACAAAGTAATTTTAAATGAATACCTTATTTAATGAGGGGCGAAAGGGAGAAACTCAGGAACCCAAAAAAATAAAAAACTAAATAAATGAAAGTCAGGAATAGAGGAAATTGCCCCTTACACAATCGACAAAAAAGGATTTGACGAGGCTTTTGCCATATTTGAAATGTGAATCTAAATAAGATCATGTTCAAAGTCATTCAGTATAAAGAGTAGGTACATGTGACTTGGCTAACCAGCAGAGGGCACCCTGGCATCCACAATAGAGCTTCTAGATGAGTAAAATTGTATACTTTATTGTTTAAAGATTAGACAGTAGTGGCTTGGGGATTATTCTTGAGTTTCAGTTTATGGCCCAGTGCACAAATGATGATGATGGAATACTGCTTGAGTTTTACATGGATGCTTTCTGAAGCCTGATTTCTAAAATAAAGGGCATTTTACCCAGATGTGTAGCAGGTTTATCCCTTACAAACCCTGATATCAGTTATTACCTACACTGATCTTACAATATTTCTTTTCATACATTTACCGTGAGATGATTTTGTTAGCTGCATGTTTATGGTGTTAGCTTATTTTATGCGTGTGAATGTGAGACGGGGCGATCATGTATGGCCGCTGAGTGCATTGATCTGTGTCTGTTTTGCTCAAGGACCCCGAGCAGAACTGGGGGAGCCTTGGTTCTATGTCAGGTTTGGAAAAAAACCCAGACACCACCAGATGGGTAGTGTTTCTTTAAATTTGACATTGTCTAAAGCTGGGGAATTTATATGACCCCGGTGATAGTGGCTTACAGTTTTGTGTGCTGCCTCTTCTGTAACGTGGCGCTCTTATATTTTACCTCACACTGCTAGACTAGTCATGTGTTGCTTTCCTTACACACGCTTCCAAACAAATTGCAGGATTTACCTATGACTCTGCTATACCTATCTGCTTTGTTATGTTGGCTACATTTGTTGTTATGTTACTACAGGTGTTTAACCAGTTTCAAGTCATATTGTATATCTCTCCTATGTTGCCTTTTTATATTTATATTTACATACTTGTACTGTACTGTACATGTTGTGCTGTACCCAAGCTGGACCTACTAAACTAATACTATCACTATAAGGAATTATACAGTTTCTATATTGTAGTACTGACCAATTTTATAAGTCAGTAACAAATAACAGCTCACCAGTGAATAAAGTCTGCGGGCAAAAGTACACTCTTCTTTCTTGTTTTAACGAGACCCTTTTTGTTTTATAACGAGCAAGATATTATTACTACATACCAAGACTTTTTCTGTTATAAGAACATAACAGTTTGTCTTTACTGTTGCAGGCTACATATTTCAGTTTCTTGTTATACAAACTAATACCAATTTCTCGTGTTACAATAAGTTTATTTTAATAAGATATGTCAATTTTATGAAATACAAAGAAGTTGATATGTTCGTATAAAAAGAAAGTTTATTGTAAAAACTGAATAATTTGGGATAGGGCTGGGCAATAAATCAATAATATAATATAAATTATAAATAATATAATTTTCCTCAATAACAATATAACAAATGTTCAATATATTGTCAATAAATGTTTGATTTAATTTGAATCATGAACGAATTAGCACTTAATTTTTCTATTAATATATTTATTTTGTTGAGGAAAAGGGACTGAAAAAAGATTTACTAATCATATTTTTTGAAAAAAGATTTTCTCATAATTGTTTTGAATGGTCTACCTCAGATTTGTTAAGTGATCACTTTTTGGCATAAAGTGTTTGTCATATTCTGACCATAAGGAATAATTTAATAATAATAATAATAATCTTTATTTGTAGAGCACTTTTCAAAAACAAGTTACAAAGTGCTTCAACAAGTGCAAAGACAACAATACAATACCCAAAAGACAACAATACAAGCAAGAAAACATTGAAAACATTGACCACACAATTAACCATCTGGTTTCTTCAATTTCACTCAAGCAAAAATCATCCTTTAAACTTGAAAGAAATAATGATTTAACATTTATCTTGATAATTATCGATATGGAATGGTATGAAATGTTTTTAATGTGATAACATTTTTGACCAAATTGCCCAGCCCTAATTTGTTATGTAGTAATAACAATGTCATAATGACATGAAAAATATTTTGTTATAACATGAAAAGGATCTTGTGAAAAAGAGAAAATGTACTTGTTATAACAAGATTTACTTTCATTGTGGCAGCAATATGCTGCCATACCAGATTGTCACAAATGTGCAGCTGGGGTTGCCACTGGTTTCTTTCAAGGAGGGCTTATCACAAGGGTTCCTGTACTCCAAAACAATTAAGAACTACGATTAAAAAAAGGCCTGAAAAACCTAATGGAATCATGGGTAAAACACAATGTACAGTACATATGTGTTCAATTAAAAAAAACACTATGAAGGATGTCATTATCATTAAGTGTGCTGGCTCTGTGTTGTTGTGATGCAGGTGAGGAGAGTCCCAGGCTCCAGTGGACACCTGCACAAGACAGAGGATGGAGACTGGGAGTGGAGCGATGACGAGCTGGATGAGGGCAGTGAGGAGGGCAAGGCTGCTGTCAATCAGGGCAGGGTAGGTGAGACTCCACATAGACCAGCTTCAGCAGTGTGTATTCTTTGTATTTATCTTCAGATACATATGAGTAACACATTTTATAACACTACGCAAACTACATTGTGCGCATGGAAATTCAGAATTTGAGTTATTAAGGTGTTGGTCATTGTTGTTGCATGTCATGTCTAACCTGTAGAGCAGTTATGTATCTTCCCTTCTGTCTTTAACCCTGTACATCCCTTCGCTCCCTGATCAGTTGGTGTTTTTTGGCTAGCAGTTGGCTTATCTCTGAGAGAGCCTGTTATGAGGTTGCTGTAATGAGCTGGAAGATAGCTGCAAGGATTTGAGGCAGGAGGAAGTAGACAGCTATGATCAAAGAGCCCTTTGATAAAGATACCCAGCTTTAATGTATGATGCAACAAATACTATGTTATCAATAGTAATGACTTAAGAAAGAAGTTATTGCTGATATTATTCTTAAGGATGTGTTTTTAGTTTCCTTTCATTGATCTCAGGCTTGTTACTTTTCAGCAGTTGTATAAAATAAGTTTGGACTGACAGATGGATAAACAGGCATAGTGTAATAAAAAGAGACTGAAAAGAAAATAAATAAATTGCTATTTTTGCTGTGTGTGAGTATGAAAAAAATGTGAACGTGTGTTTAAATGTTTCCCTCCAGTCACGAAGGGTCAAAGACGAGGCCAAAGATGTAAGTTAGCTCTTCCTCTCATACACTAAATTTAGCATGCAATTCAAATTTTAGATATCATTTTATAGTATGTTGAAGAGAATAGTTATAGTCATACACAAATAAGCTTCACTCTTTCTGCTCATTTTTGGAAATGTAGTTTACAGGCTTACTTGGGCTAAAGCTTGTCTAAGAATCATGTACTCAATTATCAATGTTTATTTCACCACACGCATTTTTATGCAGTTTAATCAAGACAGCCAAGCACCTGTTTAAAACTGTCTGACAAAGCCAGCAAATTGCTTCTCATTGTTTGTTTTGAATTGACTTTCCTGTGTTGTCTTTATACGATGAGCAGAGATTTGATATTTACCAAGAATGTAATAGCATTTGCACATTTTGCCTTTCATCTTGTTCCTCCTAGAATGAGGAGAATGCCAACAATGTCCCTATCGAAGGGCTGTCTATTCAGCATCCCCAGGTGAGGGATTCAGCAGCAACACTAATTTGTCATGATTCATTGACCTTGATGCCACACTGATTGTCTGCGTGTGTTTGTATACATCTATGCGTGTGCATACTGTACGTGTGTGTGTCTGTGCACGTGTCGGTTGTCAAATGTGTTTGTGTGTGTGTGTGTGCACACGTGTGCGTGTCGGGCTCCTGGATGGATGCTTTCAGCAGTAATAACTCAGAGTAAATGGCTGTCTGCCTGACAGTGGCAGCTCAGTGGCTGGGTGTATCTCATCTAAAGACTCAGTGCCATTGAAGCCCATTTTCTAAGGCTATTGTCATTTTGAAAATGAGCCAAAGTCTTTTGAGGTGTAGTCTTTTGCTCTAGTAGGGAATTAACTATGACAGCTACTCAGCAGTCATTTCTTACGCCTAATATCCATTCTTTGCCATACAAAGAATCCATTTGTAATAAGGTAGTGATAATAGTGATATATACTTACACAATACACCTTTATGTATTGTTCCTTTTCTTTTCCCACACAACTTCCCTGTAGCTGCAATAAATGGAAGACATTTTCCAGAAAAAATAAACCACATGGATGGTCACTGCCGCACTCACATCTGGTTTATGTTTTCTGACTATATGTACATCTTGCAGTTACCAGAACCTCTTGCTATGCAGTACAAGCTTCTCCATGTCCATTACTGTGCCATGTAAACTCCCTCATGATCAGATGTTTTCTCATGCAGGTCGAACCCTTTGAGCATAGTCCCTACATTCAAGGTGCTGTGAACATGGTACTACGGCTAAGGTGAGACAGATGCTCCTCATCATTTTCTCAATCATCTGCTGATACCAGTGATGTAATGTTTGCAAATGATCCAATTCTTTCCAACGCCACAAAAGAAAGGGAATCGGGTTGTGCTTGGTGAGAGACGTTCTTTTATTGTGCCCAAATTTCACTGCCTGCCCTTAATCCCCTCACCTCTACAGTATGTGAACACTGGTTACCACTCACGATAGTGGGTCCACTTGATTACTATACCTGCCTACGCTGGTGTCCCATGAGCTGGTTTTTAATATTAAGTGTTGCATGAATTACATTCAAGGCAATTCAACTTTATTTACGTGACACATTTCATACAGAGGGTACATTCAAAGTAGTAATTTCACTAATAAAGCAGAGTGATATGGTGTCCCCTTGTGCAATGTTTCCAATACAGATCACTGATATTAGGTCTGGCAATGTGAGTAATTTAGTGCTGCTAAACCTAGTCCACACATGCAAAATTAAATTATATTGGCAGAATGTCTAAGTTTGAATCTGGTCCAAATCTTACCCTATCATTATCTTAGTGATTATTTTGCAGATATACCTGGTAACCCCTTTAAAAAAAGATGAGCTATTATTTTGAATATCTCTCAGAAAGGAACAGAGCCAACAGATCCTGCTCCCTTCAAAGTAATTCCCATCGCTAGCTGATACACAAGGCAATCTTAAGAAAATATTGATTTGGATCACTCGTGGCAACATGGTCTTAAAAAGCAGTTTAAAAATCGCTATGTTTCTCTGGAGGAAATGCAGAAATGCTCAGCAGATTTACAATTGACAAATTACGTTTCTGGATGCACATCACTTCACTTTGTCCTAAAAATGCAGGCTATTAGACCCAACAATCTTTGCCCGCCATGGATCTCCTCCCTGGACGTGTCATAGAGAGGAGATTGTTACTCTCCATTGGTTCTCTGGCTGCTTTATTTTATAGCACCCTTTGCTTTTTGCTGTTCATGAAAAGCAATGTCTAGAATTGCTTTTCATGAACACATTTCAGTGTCAAAGTGGGGGCTTGTGTTTCCACGTCAGAATGATCAACCTAGATACTTCCTGTTAGAAATCAACAATTTTTTTATGTCCTTTCACTTTAACATATGTAGTAAGGGGAGTTGGCAGACATTCACGTTACAACTTCATTATCTGTATATCATATACTTTATATCTTCTCTTCCCCTCTTGCTCTGTTTGCAAACATATAGATATAGAATGAGAGAGGACATTTTAAGGGATGCAGCAACAGACAGGCAATGGGGCATTTCTGGACAGTTGAAAGTCTGCCTGTAGCTCCCTGATGAGCTGGTTGCAGAACACACACACTTGGTTGAACAGACATCTGAAGGTCCATCCCCAGGCATCTGGCATAGCACAGACAGCCTTTTTCCCCCCGTGCTTACTAACAAAACAGTGGTCTGAGTGCAGCAGGAGATGGCTAGCTGCTTGGTGGCTGGTTAAGACTCATTATTCTAACATGGTGATTAAAATAAATGGCCTGTTTCAGTGGTTTGGGGTTTTTGGTTCCTCAGTTTCACAGGTTATCCATGGATGTAATGATGTTTGTTCAATCTGTGGATTTTATGGTTCAAACACAAGAAGCAGATTAGATGTGGTTATCAATTGTAAAGCTCTTTGTAAATGTAAGAAACACAGTTATCCCGGTAACTTGAGTTGTGCAGCAAAGGAATTAATTTCTTCAGAGAAATGCATTCACTGTATTTAATATGATCCAAGCATTAGGATGTCAGGTCACCTCTATGGTTTGTCAGCTAGAATATTCAGTATTAGAGATGCAAACACATGATGGATATAAGTCCATGAGCCTTGATGGCATTTTTTCCTTAGAAACATGAAGGTTTTAAATTCTCACCTATTCCCTGGTGAATTACCAAGACCTTTCACTAAAGCTTCTTCTTTTATGTTTGACATGCTCTCCATCCATTGTTGTATTATGCTTTACATTCCCTAAACTAGAAAAGATATGACAGAACATGGCAATACATTGCAAGATACAAGAAACCTCTTGTAGAGGTAAAGAATAATTTTAGGAGCATTTTGCTTAATTCTGAATGGGAATTCTGGGATTAGTTCCTTCCAGTTCCTTCTGACTGGTGAAATATTTCTTGGAGAGAAGGATTTGGCTGGTATGTTTTAAAGTGAATCAGCACAAAAGGTATTAAAAGATGAGAGACTGCATCATATTTTGGAATTTTCTTTGTCTGTGTTCTTATGTTTGGGATGAAGAACGCAAGATATTTAAGGCCACAAATAGTGTGAGACTGTTTGAGAAGCAGTTTATTTAAGTATGGTGATTAAATGAAAGATTCATCTGGAATATCAATATAAAGCAAACAAGTTGTTTTTGCTAGGCCTCAGTGTACATTCAAAGACAATAGCTTTTCAACACCTGGATCTTGTGGTCAGTTGTCAGGTAAAATATTATACTAACATATGTGTGTGATTGAACCCCCCCCCCCCCCCCCCCCCCCCACATCAATCAAACCATAAAAAAGATAATGTATAATAAAAAATGATGGTCCTTGTGAATTTGTAAGTTTAAAGTTAAATAGCAAATCCATGAAAGTAATTGCATTTGAGAGAGCAATATAAACAGCTAATTGGTCTCCTCTCTCAACTAATAAGGGAGTTCAGCAGATTAGCATGAGTTTATGGTAATATGAGCCCCTCAGTAGCAGAGACTGCAGAACAGCAGCAGCATGATTGGATTTTTGTCAACAGTTTGCTTGGAACTCGTTCAATCTATTTTTTTTATTTATTTTTTTTTTACAAAGGCACTGAGGTCTCCTGAGAATAGTGTCAGCAGTTTGAAGGGGAAGTTCAGACTTGTATAATATGCTTGCTGTTGGTGCAATGTCACCGGGCCTTAAATAGCCCAGATGCAAATTGATTTCACTCTGCAGTTCAGTCTGGAGGTGACATTTTCCATGTGTTTTCTAAATAAATATAAATAATAAATTCTATGTAAAGGGTAACTAGCAGTTGACAAATGTCAGGGTAGTTTCTGAAATATCTTCTTAATAAATGTACTAGTGCCAGTGATGCCACCCCTAGAGTTTATAGCTTGCTGCCATCTTGTCAGATGCTGTGTGCCAAATCCCAACAAAGTCTGCTTTCTATAATCATGATAATAATACTGATAGTTATAATATAATATTTCTCTAGCTTCACAAAATACAATACCATACTACCAACAATACTAGGTGTTGCTAGAACAATAGCAAGGACCTGATCCTGACCTGAGGTGTTTCATTGTCTTTGCTCTTGTTTAAGTACTTTGTAACACGGTTTTGAAAAGTGCTCTATAAAGAAAGATTATTATTGTATTATTATGCCTTATTGGCTTGTAATATGGTATATTTTGGGGTTTTAGCATTTTGAAGTTGTTACTTTGGGCTGGAAACTGTCACTGACATTTTTGTCTAAAAGAATAATCGATCAACTGCAAAAATACTGTAATCGACAGATTAATCTATGATTAAAATCATCAGGTAGTGGCTTATTTTTATAATGTTGCTTTACAAGGAAATCTGCTTGAGAGAACATTTGTTGAATTGTATGTTTGCCTGGAGGCTGAACCTCTGTTCACTGACTTCTCAAGGTTACTCTAGCAATTAGTTAGAATAAATAATTGAAAGTCTAGAGGCTAAACACTGTCTTAATTTCCCTATTATTAATAACACATTTCATGGCTCTTTACAGGACGGTTCTTGGACATTATTAGGAAAATAAAGGGACAGATTTATGGATCTGTAAAAGATAGCGTTTAACATTAAGGGTTAGTTGCAGCCCTAGTAAGCTTTCAACACATTTAGTAGTTTTTTGCAAGTACTATGCATTTTAATTTTCTGCGTGAAACCTGGATCACATATTTAATGAGTGCATAAAATTGGTTGTCTGAACTCTTTTTATGTTCATTCAGCCATGTGAGATGCTATTAAGTTATGAGCTGTGGGTGCTTCTTGTAGTCATAACAGCAGATTCTCCCCACACATTTATTGACTGTGATTGTCAGTAGCCCATGTGTAGAAGAACCTGCCTCCCTGTAGGTGTGACATAAAATGTTTAATAAAACTATGTAGTCTCTATGTACTTGTCACAGTAGAGCATGTGTGTGTTGGCCTTGGCATCTTAGTGGGTTACATTTTCTATGATATATCTACATTGTTCTTACCTAAAAATACCAGTCGACACCACTGTCCTCTATGACAGCCAACAATGCAGGGCTGCAATTAGCTGTACTGATTGGTGGATGAAATGCAAATATTACTGCTGCTGAACTGAGGAAACATTAAATCTTCAGAGTGGTATTTAAAAAGATACTATAACTCTCACACGTCACGGTAGTGTTCAGCTTTCTATCTATGGCTAATCCCAATGGTCCTGACGTAGTGTGTTTTCTACACAGGAGCCAAATTTTAGGCATGATGTATTTGGGCAGGGCTAAGATCCGCATTCATACATGTTGCCTCGACAGCCTTGGCAATTTGCACCATTTGCTTCCACTGCTGGGAATAGAGATGTTCACGTCCATCTGCTCCACCAGACTTTTTATCGTTTTTTTTTTTCTTTCAACTGTAACTCTAAAATTAAACAAGTCAGACGTGCTACTAACAAACTCATTGCAGATATGTCTGTGGTTATTAATACACAGAATCTAAACAGGTAAATGCACTCAGATACGCAGATGGCAACATTTTCTGCGGTTCTTCATGTGGGTTTGAGCAAAACCTTTTTGATTTCCTCTTTTTAACTTTTTAGTATATATCTCAGTGGATGCAGCAGGTGGGAGGTAGGCAGGAGAGGAAGTTAGACAGGTGTTACCTCATGTCCTCTGCACATTCATCCACTGCCGCGGCACATTTTTTCCCCACAGGTGCTCTATGTTAATGGTAAAACTTAATATGAGTATCTTTTCAAAGCGAGGGGAAATTCACACAACTTTTTTATTGCAGCTCGTTTCCCTAATTATTGTGTTAGTCACATGAGGAAAGGTAATTGACATTTATTTTTATATTTTTTTATTATGTAATGTGAAAAGGATTCGCTGATTGTGAGGAGAATTATCACTTAGGTCTGCAGTTCTCCTAAACTCTGCAGAGAGCTTTAGTGCCTTTTAGCTGATTGTTTTGGTTTTCTTGCCTGCAGCGTTACTGTTTTATTTCACTCTCACTGCTCTCAGTGCCATTTTCACCAAAAAAACAAAAAAAAAATCCACTGTACGCTACCTACCTGCACACAGACAAAGTTAGTGATCAGCTGGTCAACATTGTGAAAAACAGATCTTTAAGGAGAGTGAATATTTGATAGGTGAACACAAACACGACTACAAATAAATGCTAATCTTGCTGTTTAATAAGTAACATTTACTGTTAGCTAACCGGTTCGATATATCAACTTTATAAGGTGATAGTAGTCAGTGTTATATTTACAGCTTGTTTCCGCTGCACCCAAGTGGACAAAAAATAAATCAATGCAGGTTTAATGACTGCAATCCCCATTTGTTTTCAGTTCAAGCTCACTGATGCTCACTGATGTTGTCTTACAGTGTTAGCATGCCAACTGTGCTGCTTGTCCACCTTGTCACTTCTCCTGGATCACATAGGTCATCTTCACGTGTACACACAGCCTTTGTGTCATGCTTGTTTCCTAATGCTCTGCAGCTCAGTCACGTCTTAGCCTCCTAGGAACACAACTGTTAACAAATTTAAATCTGATATTTCAGATTTTACTTGTTCAGTCACACCCTCTTGTCTCTTCTTTCAGGAACTCTAGAAAGGAGCTGAATGACATTCGGTTTGAATTCACTCCTGGGCGAGGTAAGAGCTCTGCCTATATGGATTTGAAATAGGGATTTCCCTTTGTGATAACATCTTCAGGCACTGTAGATTGTTGTTAGTGTGTAATGGGTAATGGCAGTGTTTGTCCCCATGACAGTATCTAATTCAATATCTAACGCAATTACCTGCTAAGTGGAATGTTGCAGGCCCAATATTTGTCATGTTATTCCCTCACAAGACACAGCTGATGGCGTTTCCCAGGAACTGTTCTCGGCGGGCCTGGTCAACGTGCACGATGTTGTTATTGGTAATGTTCCACCACTTTGTTCTGGTAAATTGTGCTGTCTGAAGACATCACTTAGAGAGTATCAAGATTTTACTGGAAAGGCTATTATCAGAGATGGACATTTATTTCATTTGGCAAGTCAACAGAACCCAACAGACTAAAGTCGATAGAAAATACTTACTACTATATGTTTTCTTTATACAACTGATCTTGAAACTTAATTGTAGTCTAAAAATGTTAGCTGGTGTGGGAACTGATCACATTAAATATTTTATATTTTATTTATTGATACTGACACTGGACTTATCTTCTACTGTTGTACAAATATACTGAAATTTACTTTGCATATTGTAAAACTTGTATTATTATGTATAAAACTTGATGTTATTAACATTATGTTGTTGTATGCCCTCTGCATTACAGTTGCTTCTAACCTTCAGAAGATTGTAGATGACCCAACTACCTATAAAGTGTTGACCTTTAAGCTGGTGAGTTTCCAGCTGATTGATGGTTAATGACTCCCTCCCGGGTTTGTCCTTGTCCTTGTTGATAAAAGGTTCAGTGAAGAAGTGACGTTATTAGAAAGGCCTCAAACCAACCAAATAGCTTCAGCATATGGCATCAATTCACACAAGGATTGCAATTCTTAACTTCTATGATTCTAAATTTTAATACCTTGTTACTAGAGTTACCTTGTAGTTCATCTTCAAAAAATGCAAAGGTTTGGGTGCATTTTGAATTTAATAATCAGCTTTGCATGAGTAAAGTGAACCCACAGACTAGCTAACATTAGGTTTTCTATAATATTTAGTTTGATGGCTAATGGTGTTTTGTGTATTATCCATGGAGAGGCGTGTTCGGATTGGGACAGCCTCTCTTCATCTCAAGCATGAACAAAATACTGTATGCCAAACATGCATCTTGTTAAATCACAATTGAAACTGCTATATAATCTATGATCAAAGTGGGGGGGTGGACGAAGACTAAGTACATGTTGCAAATGTGCCACTTTAAGAAGTCACCTTTGTATAACTATTAGAGAGACACATGCCATTTGTGAAGAAATAGGAAGCAATAATGTCAGTCCTTCTGACATTAATATGTAAATTATGTTTTATTGACCTCTCTTTAGTTGTGCGTAAACAACATCTGTGGCTTTGGGTCACAGTGCTTCACGAAGTGACTTATCTGCCATGCATCAGCAGCTAATGAGCGCTGCAGGTGGACCTGTCTCTGGAGAGTCAGAGTGAGAGCATTGCTGAGTATAGGATATAGGATATATATAGGAAATGTGGGCACGCTTCCATTTCCATATGTTAACTCCACTGCAGGCAGCGTAAAACTCTCTGTGTGGCACCACTGTGCCTTTCTAAATGAAGAGTTACGAGCGCAGTGTCACAGAACCCAGGAAGAATAATTACCCTCGCTAGGGGAGCTGTTCATAACACTTAATGCAGACAATTTATGGTGTGGGTGGCACTAGAGCAACTTTATGAATTAACTAAACAAGAGGTCACTATAGACTCAGAAAGAGTGACCTGTTTTCATACCAGTCCCTCCATGTTAGTCAGACAAGTACAGAGCTCTCAGACCACCAGAGAGATGGAGTGTCTCTCCCTGATGAGGTGTGAAATGTTATAGGCCCGCAGGTGTTAGGTCAGTCATTCACACTGGCTTTTCCACAGGAGGAAGAGAGTGAAAAATAAATAGTGCCTGGTTTTTGAGGAACACTCAGACAAATCTAAATGCACACTGCCTTTACAAATTGCCTTTGTGAAAAGCATCTGAGCAGCCTAAGAATTGGGTTGAAGGTTGAACTGTCAGTAAAATAAATCTTGTGCTTTATCACGGGGAACTGATAAGTTTAGACAGTATGGTCTACATGGCCAAAAGTATGTGGACACCCACACATGGTATGAGCATGCCTGAATATTACGCCCATGTGTGATTGTTGGACTTATTTCAGATCAATGGGCAATATGATGCTATGCAGCCTCCACTCTTCCAGGAAGGCTTTCCACCAAAGTATGGAACCACATTGGGCAAAGATGTTGGGCAATAAGGCCTGCCTCACAGTGCCTCCCATGTTCCAATTCATCCCATAGGTGTTGGATGGGATTGAGGATGGGATTGAAGGACAATCAAGTTATTCCCCACCAAACTAGGAAAACCATTTCTTTGTGCATCTCAATTTGTGCACCGGGGTATTGTTGTGTTTAAACAGAAAAATGCCTTCCCCTAACTGTTGCCACAAAGTTTGAAGCACACATATTGTGTATAATACATACAATTTGATGATATGTGTGCAAACTACAAAGACATCAGGGTACAAGGATGTAAAAAAAAAATATATTGTCAGATTTAAATCCAACTGTATAGTAAGGGTGATCTGACCTCATTTACTGCACAGAAATAGAAACAATACTGAACTTATTAAAGACCTTAGCCACATGTGATGCGCCCACATTAAAATATTTTTACTTCCTCATTTTCATTTTAAAATTGTGCAACTTTATAAACTTTCTAAATCAATATAATTTACATTTGCACAGTCTAAAAATAAAGTTGATGTGACTGTCTCCACTTATAGTTATAGGCGATATACTGTATTTTTCAAACCAACAATGCATTAGTCCCTCTCTTAATGCTCAATACTGCCCACCCTATTTGTGGCCCCAAGCCCATTGGTTCCTGCTGAAGATGTAAAATCTTAAAATGGGTCCCCATATTCCTATATAAGTGTCTTTGACAAAGAGGAATAAGCTCAGGCTTTGGCTACACAGACAAACCCAAAATGTGTTGAAATAAAAAGCTCACTAACTTGCAGTAGTTTCAATCCCCTGATTATTTCTGGGTGTTATACTACATCTGTTCTACAGATTTTGCAGGATTAGTTGTTCTTGATGGTGATGCCAGTGTCAGGAATGCAAACTAGCCCTGTTGACCCTCTCGATGACTTCTTCCTCACGCAGGCTTCCGGCTGCGACGACACAGAGATCCCGGATGAGGTGAAGCTGATCGGCTTTGCACAGCTAAGTGTTAGCTGATGCCCTCTTCATGCCTGAAGCAGGTGAGACAGTTCAGGGCAGACAGACTGAGGAACACAACACCACTTCCTGCAACATCTTCCCCAACACCCTCCCTGAAAACTCACTCCCACTCCTCCCTTGCCTTCTTTTCACCTTCCCTGAGGCCAAGCACCGCCCCGCCTACGCCTCCATAGCGCCGACTTCCCTGCTCACTGTCCCCTGACCTTTAACCTTAACAACATTCCACCGCCCAGCGCACAGAGCGGGATTAGGAACAGCCCCGGAACCTAAAGATGTACTCAGGTGGTGACATAAAGTGATTAAGATGTAGCTTTGAATCTTTTATTTATTTTTTTCTTTTACTTTTTACATCACATTACCTTTGTGTTCGGCAAAGATCTTATTATTTATTGAAATAAGAAGATATTTTTATTTTGTTTCTCATGCTGTTTTGTTGCCACAGTAAAAACAAATTTGCTATGACTCGCATCTCACGAACACACTTATTTGTGATGTTTCCCTGAGGTCTTTGTCAGAATGTAAGATTTAGTTAATATATGGGGAAAAGCACATTTTCATAATAACATAATGAATGTTTAAAAAGAGAATGCATTTTTTTTTTTTGTGTCAAGACCTGTTTAGCAATGACAAGAAGTGACCCATTTGCTTGAGTGTGCAGAAAAACAAAATGAGACCTGGATGCTACTGTGTATAATTTGCTACTCTCGACAGTGCTAATGCTTCAAAATGTTAGAGGTGCCTTGTTCATTTTCCTGTGCCTAAGAAAGTAGTCAAAGAGTGAGACCACACAAAGAGCGGGGCCTGCTGATTGCCATTTCACAAATGTATTACTCCAGCAATGACACAAATCAAGTATCTTAACTTAACAAGACAAGCTACAGTGCACTTTTGGGCTGAGTATGACTGAGTATGACAAGCAGATGCTTAGCCCCGGGAGACAAGTTAACTTATGTGCTTTTGTTATCGGCCATAAAACATAACCTGTAGTCATGTAATCTGCTCTGGCTGATGTGTATTCAGATGCCAGCTTAATAGACAAATCCACATCCATTTAATTTTCTTGCTCTGTCCTGCTGCACTACAAAGCCTTTTGTTCCCAAAAATATAGTTGTTTCTAAAATGTATTGTATGACAGTGCATCTGAGGATGAAACCAAAAGGCAACTGTTGAAAGGGTGACAAGCCATTTGTTTGTCCAAACAAGTTCAATAGCTCTAAATTATTTTTAAGTATCGAGGTGGTACATATTAACTTCTACTAAATTCTTTATTATGAAGTAATTTGTTGTGTTTTCTATGTACATTATGTGTACCATTTCAGCATATTACCCCTGTACCTCTGTAATCAGCTGATGTCAAATTTCTGACAAGGAGCAACAATAAAGAATTGCTATTATTTAAAAAAGGTGTGGAGTATTTACTATTAGCTGTGTCATGAATTATAACTTAATACCACTACTATTACAGGCTAAAATATCTGATGATTTGTGGATGTTTGATTTAGCAGATAATGGCTGCAAAAAGCCAACCCACAACTGTCATTTTTTCTTGTGGCAACATTTGGCAAATCTACAGCATGGACTTTAAGTCAAGTCAGGTCAGTTTTATTTATATAGCTCAGTATCAATCACAAATTTGCCTCAAGGGTTTTTACAATCTGTACAGCATTTGAGACCTCCTGTTTTTAAACCCTTGTTTCAGATAAGGAACCCCCCCCCCCCCAAAAAAAAGAAATAATTGAAGAATCGTCAGGAAAAGCAACAGAGGAGGGATCCCTCTTCCAGGACAGACAGAACTGTAATATACAGTATGTTCTCTACAGAAAGATTAAAAAAAATCATGAATCATAAAGGGTGAACAGAACTTTAAGTTTGGCAACAGTGTCAAAAAGAAATCTAGGATTGATTTTATTGTTATTCAAATAGATTTTAAAGTCAGACTGTAATTTCTGAAAAAAGGAATTACACATTCTTTCTCTTACAAAGTGGAATGCGTGAGAAATAAAATGCAGTGTTGCTTACTGCAATACACAAGGGTTTTGTTGCTACAGCCTTACTTGGTCTGGTATGACCAATGTTAACAAACATATATATATATATATATATATATATATATATATATATATATATATATATATATATATATATTAATGTGTAACAGTATGGAGTGAGTTTGCTAGCTTGCTATGACTCGCCTCTCCTTGTGCTACTGTTAAATTACGTTTCAGCGTTTACCCCTATATCCTATAATTTTGCTGAAGAAAAATTGTTGTTCAGGAAGTTGGCTTTGTCATTTTAAAAGATATCTTATGGGACCACTGTAAAACAACCTGCTCTTTAATCACAAATACGATGATTAAAAAATGATGATAACAACAAGTAAGAACAAAAAGTAACCCTGCAATTCTTTACCAATCATCTCAAAACAGGCAACAAGTAAAAGCAGTAATATAAGTTTAATTGTTCAAGTATTTGTTTTTTAATATAAAAAACATATAATATATAACAGCAACCCCTTGTGGGATAGATGCTTTCACAGTAAATGTCACGCTTATAATACTACAAAACCTTTGAAAAAAGAAATGAAAATTTGGCCATGAAAGACACATTTTCTGAAAAGTTTTTCCATGATGTCAGTAGCAAAGCTTCAGTAATCACTGATATGCCAGATACATGTGATAATACATCCAGTCTGTAACTATCTTAGCTACATTTAAACTCATACTTTCACGACATGATCCTGTATTTCTCTTAATGTGCGGTGGAGTTGATGAGCTGATAGCTGCTGACGTATCATACACAACCAAGAGCAGCAGCTGGAGTAATGAGGAGCTCGTAGCTGGGACAAACAATTACCTCAAGTATGGAAATGTCAAAGAGGGGAAAAACAACAAATGAATCTAAAAAAAAACCCTAAATATACATGTTACTTTTTCAGCGAGAAGAGGCAGTGAAATGATAACCATATGTAAACAAAAACATCAGTCATATGTATAAAACAAAATGGCATCCAGAAAATTCAGCTGTGTGGTATTTTCTGCTTCGAGAGCTGCATGGGTGTAGATTTGTCTCAACAGACGACCTGGTTTGTTGTTCGATAAGATTAATATTTGCATTCTCAGTGTTCAGGAACTCTTCTTTCATTTGTAAAGAATACTTTTAAAATGTATAATATTATAGCTGTAATATAGCAATTCAGAACTAATAATTGATTCCTGCACAGAAATTCTCTTTTGGCTTGGACTCCTGCAGGAAGATTGGGGTGCCAAGTCAGCAGCCTTGCAGATGGTGGAGATTCAATGTCTTGCTCAAGGACACTTTAGCGGGGCAAAAGGTTGTCAGAGTAAGGGCTTGGACAAAGGTCGTCTGGTTGAAACTTTGTCTCTACTCGTTGGGCCTCGCTACTGTATTCTTAACGCTGATTGATTTAATGCTTATAAAGAAAAGTCCTTAAATTGGACATGGGACACAAACAAAATTACTTTCAAGTAACAACCACCACATTTTAATTATGTATGAGAATATGTTCTTTACAAGCCCCATGCATTCGTTAACAATCAGGTGTAATCATCATAAATAGATATATGGATGTTAATGAAAACACATCTGTCATGAAATAGAGACTTGCAGCGAACCTCAGTGTTTTTACGTCACTCAGTGTGATGAAATTTGAGAAAGCAGAAAAAGGCAAAAAAACAACAACAACAAAACTTTTAAGTTGTTGTCCAGTGGTCATCATGTCCTCTAACACCTCAGGTGCTTCTTGCTCGACATGTCATTCCAAATGCGGTGCATCTCCTCCGGGGAGATCTGGTGCACGGTGATAACCCGCCTGTACCTGCACAGACTGTAGGCCATTTTCCAGTGATTAAAACCACTGTTCTGATACGGGTGTATACCCAGCTTACGCAAACAAAGTCCCACGTACACATCCTCCAGGTGCAACAGTCTTGTGTGTAATGAAGTCTTGTAGATTAGCTCAGCTACATCTGCTGAGAACACATAGCCAGTGCCTGAGCAGAAAGGTGGGTATTTACTCTCGGGATACAAGTCCCTGGACATATACCACTTACTGCGCATGTCCCTTATGGGGCCACCGTTTATAACATAGCCGGTAAAATATCTCCTTCTTGGCTTGGTGGTGGGCTTCAGGAGCTTGTAAATCAGATTGTCCATGTTGACAAAGATGTCACTGTCTGTCTTCATGACATACTGCGCTTTGGGGCAAAAGGTAGCCACCCAGCGCATGCCCATCATGGTCTTTAGGGTGAGGTTGTGGTAAGAATCAATAAAGTTCTCCACTACGATGTCATGGAAGATCTGGCTCTCCTGCTCCACCATCTGGTTCAGGACGGTGTCTGTGTTCCTGCCCAGAAGAAAGATGGTAAGGATGTGGATGTCACCGTAGGTGCTCTCATCCCCCCAGGTCTCCCGGATGGCCTGACGCGCATCAAACTCCTTGTGTGTGGTGCTAATGAGGATGACCAGGAAGGGAGTGACCCTTTCGCACTTCTTCGGCTCACTGATGACAAATTCAAAGGCATGTGGGTTAAGGGGGCGGGTGCGGATGTTGTCAAAGGTGAAGTTTTTGTGGGGTTTCACAGTCTTACGTATAGGCACGGACATGTGGCCAACATAAGTGGTTGTTGGGCGAGATATGCTCAAGTACCACAGAGCGCTCGCCCAGCAGACCACTGTCAACAGGTATAAACATGACACTTTTGAAGGCATTATGCTGCATTTAGGTGTATTTTGATGAGCTGGATCTTATAAGGCCTTCTTTTCATTAGCAATGTTTCACCCAGCGAGGCAGCATTAAGCTGCTCCAGCAGACAGTTTGACATTAATTATCAGTAGTGAATTACTTTAGAGAGAAGTGAATGGACGTCCAATTTCTGTTGGTGACACTGCTGCTTCTCCGTTTACATCTGAAAGAGAGAGAGAAATTAAGCATTAATACAAATATATATACACCAGACAGGCCCTAAAAATTAATTTTTTAATAAATCATGAGAGAAACCATTGCAGTTTCCTTTCAAATTCAATAAACTCAGTAGTGTGTACACATATGAATAAAGGCCTCATCACTTTGCTATCAGCAACAATAAGTCAAACAAATGAAGAAATGCTGCCTGACTATCCTGTTATATTTATACAATAAATAACTGCAAATAATGTAGAAACACTGCAGAGAAAGTTGACACATCAAACTCATCATTTGGGAGTTAAAAATCATCACAACTCTATTTCAAAATTTAATTTGTTTCCTTGAAGTAAATCTAGTCAGAGCAATAGAAGAAAGGACTGATGAAATCAATATCTAAAAGTTAAAATTTACAAAAGGGGTTGAAACATGTGTGGGTAAGATTGTGGTGCCATCAGCCATCTGGCAAAGGGGACACATCATCAGACACATATTATTCATTGCTGAAGTTTAGTTATTATTCACTGGCAACACACATTGTGATGTTACCGCCATGGTTTGCAATCGGCCAACGATTTTCAATTTCATTTTCATTTTGCTCTCACATTCAGTGGCAAACAACAGAGACTACTTATTGGTTATGATTATGTTATAATGAAGCAGATTTTGGTTAAGGGCAAAGGGAGCAACACAGAGACATCTCGCTGATGTATTGGAGCGCTGAAAATGCCTCAAACTGTAACATATTTTCCTGACAGTTTTGTTTTGTTCTTGGTAAGTATTGAGATTCTTTACCAAAGTAAAGCCATAACACACTACCTGCATTGACTTGTTGTAGTTGGTAGAGTTTTAGTTCATTATAATTACTGTCTATACTTTTGGAAAGTTTAATCTATAACAATGGTCCATATTCCTATTATATGTTTTGCATGAAAATTATTGGAAAAGGTACTACATCTGTCAAATAAGTGTTTATGGACCACAAAGTACAATATTTTTCTCAACTCAAAAACCTAAAAATCTTTGACTGATTGACATGTTGTTTTCACAGTTGATTATTTACACATCCAGCAGAGACGAAGCAACATTGTCATTAATTTGAAGTCGGTTTCTGGCCAGCTGGCGAATGTAAGTACATTATTCACACTTCACATGTCACATCGTTTTCACACACAGTTTGTTATTATAAAATATAGATTACAGCCGCTTTAAGTACAGTATGTAAAATGTACTTAATTACACTACACCAGACGATTTGTTACAACAATAGATAAAGCCATCAATGACTTGACTTTTCAATGACGTTATTACAATAAACTGAATTCAATGCGCATCTGAATGGTTTATAGATTTTATATCAGAGCGTTACAAAATACTTTGAACATTCAGTACATGATCCTAGTGCACAGATTGACATTTCACAAGAGCAGACAAATGCCCTTTTAAACTAAAAAAAAGGCTTACAAGCTCTCTTGTTCTATGGCTCAAAAGAGCTGTGGGGTTGGCAGCATTGTGCAGCATTCTGACAGCGCTATACGGTGGCACAAAGGGAACATCGTGCCATGATAAGCTTTCCCCCTGGGGTGATTTTTTTTCTCCCGGTTTGTTCAGTGCTGCACTGCTTTACTGTCTGCTTGTTACTGAGCTGACAGAATTTTGGCATGTCTATTTTTTGAGCAGTGGTTCTGCAGCGTGGACACTGAAGTGGCATATGTTTTTGCTTTTGCGCAGATGGCTGAGCAGCTACAATATACAGTATTTTAGCATGTATATCATGTAGCCTGTCTTTTGAAGCTCTCAGTGACTTTTCTTTTCATTTAGGGAAGACAGATCATACGATGCACTTCACAGGAAAATGGCTATATAGTAATGCAATAAAACTCCATCTTTGTATATCAAGACACTTGGTACCAAGTTAGACTGAAAGGCATGACATTAACAACAACAGTATACATACATGCTTTGAAAACAACTTTGTAGAAGATAATCTGCCACATGAATTTTGCTGGACCTTTGGACTATGAAAAATATACCTTTTTATCTTGCACTGTGACTACACATATACTGTTTATTTGGTGTCAGTTTGAGAAAAGATTTTAGATCAGCAGATTATCACTCTGAGGCTGCCTTACAAATGCTGTTACTTCATAGTTTATTTTGTACTTAACCCTTTTCTCAAGAGTCTTTCAGCAAAACTCCTGTGTTGAGATTCTTTACTCACAATATCAGGCTTCTCCCCTTGTTAAATTACTGTGAGATCTCACAGGATTTAGAGCAACAAACAATCTTTCACTTTAACAACCCTTTGCTCGACGCAAGAAATACACAGAGATGCCAATATTTTCTAATACCAGAGGAGGGAGCAGGGCCAGGTGTAGTGAAGACAGAATGACAGAAGAAAACCAAGCCTCGACTGCTTGCTCTAAGGTTAATAGCATAGTGGAAACAGAAACTCACACAAAAGCAAAGCACAGATTGTATGTATATGTTCATATGTTCAAATACACAATAACCAGGGCCAGCTGGTAGCAAGCAGTCACTGCGTCCCACATTGTCACATTGAAATCTCACTTTGCTAACTGAAGCAAAAATATTTATGAGAACCAAGGCAATATTTATGTGACAGTTTATTTGGCTGCCAGTCTGTAAAACATAACCTCCAGTGGCTTTTCAGAATAAACAGTTCTAAGTTGGTCAGGGTCTCTCATGTGCATACACGCCACCAGATTAAATACTTGATTTATCCCTGAAGAAAGTTTTACTTTATTTATTTATTTTTTTTCCATTTTACTACTTCTGAATGTATGTCATTAATTAGTTCAGAATGAACTGAAATTCTCTATGAGTACACATAATTGAAGTGAGAGAAATTACATAATGTTGTTTCTCCAGTGTCGGTGAACAGCGATGACTCTTGTACAGGAGCGACAGCTCGGTACTCTTGCGTATTTTTATTGTCACACAATCAAACCAAATGATGAGTCACTAGACTGAGTGATTAGAACGTTAATGATGATTGTGCATCATTCAGTGCATCGCTTTGGATTCAACATCAGACGTGTGTGTGTGTGTGTGTGTGTGTTTTATCTCTGTGGGTGAAATAAAGATGTAAATGGGTCTGTTTGGGAATCGTGTGGCAGCATCAGTCTAAAACAGTGAGATACTATGAGCTAGATATATTGGAAAGAGAAAGAGACAGGGTGTTGTAGATCCTGATTATGAGAGATGAATAATCCCGAATTGTGTGCAACAATCTTAAGATTGGTATCTTAAAAGGGCTATATGTATTTATTTTTAATAAAACAAATCACTTTTTTCTTGCCTGTGTGTGAAGGGGTTGTAACCTCACGTAAAAATATTGCACATGCTGGATTTGTTGATTATCTCTGACGGCCAGTATGCCTATTTCTATGGGAAGACTCTGGGTTGGATTTTCCACAAAATCCATTGGCTCCACTTTGTTTTTTTGAAAACCGACACAGAGTTGGCTTTCATCCAAATGGACAGGTAAACTAACATTACTGGAAAGCATGTGAGAAATATTGTGATTTTGTGCTTTAGTTGGCTCAAGTTAGATAACATTAGCTTATGCAAAATACTATGGCTGTATTGGCTTTCTGCATTACTTCACCATAACGCGACCCATATTACTATCCTATCCACTGGAGTTATGTCAAAGTGTTGATTTTGCAAGAAATTATGTTTTGGTAGAACGCAAATGGGGAGCGCCTTGTTTATACTAGCCTATAGTGATGCAAGGCATGGTCAGCCAGCTAATGTTAGCATGGATCCGCAGCTGTTTGCTTCATCACATCCTATTTAGATTTTTTGTTGTTTTATCGAAACTCAAGTACACAGCTTCTTTGCCGGTCTCAGTTGCTGTAACTTACATCATATACAATAATGCAACATAACGGCACAGGACAACAACACACAGTGGAAGACCCATTCACTACAGTAATGTTACTTACTGTCGTCTAACTGTTATAATGTGTGGCAACAATCTCATTTGTAATATTCAGGCTCGCTAATTGTTTTTGTTATCATCTACTACATTTAGCTACGCTAAGTTTGCCTCTTTGGAGACACAAATAGTTACTGAAAATCAGCAGACGAGCTAACGCAGACATATGATATCAGCTTAATGCAGTCAATGTAGCGTTATCATGTAACAAACATGGATTAGTTGAACGTCAAGCAGATAAAAATACTACTGTAATGCAGTGGGAGATTCTGCTCGCTCATAAGTTTGAGGATGCTTACGAGCACACACCTGGTTGCAATCTAAAACCCGCACCGCTAGTGGCAGCTAAAAACTACATATGGCCCCTTTAGGAGACCAAATGTAAGTATGCAATTTGCTCTGCTGCCACTTCACTGAGCAAATCACTTTCTAAAGAAACAGGTATAGCGGCAATATGAAGATTTCCTAAAGAAAAGCTGCCATTCACTATGGTTGGAGACCTTTAATAGAATAATAATATTTTCAAATGCTTTTATACAGGAAAATAAAAATGTTTTAATTTCATTTCTAAATGCCATTGCCTAGGACTACTTTATGTTGGTGCTGTTTATCGGGACATTCTTAACATCCTAAGGCTAAAAATAGTTCCTAACTGGGGTTAGTGTGTAATATTTAGGAGGATCTATTGACAGAAATTCATTATAATATGCATAACTATGTTTCAGTGGTGTATAAAGACCCTACATAATAATGTTTTTATTATCTTAGAATGAGCCATTTCTTCTTTCCCCTTACTTGGAAGTCACCATGTTTCTACAGTAGCCCAAATGGACAAATGGCTCTTCAGAGCACGTTTCGTCACTACGTTGCAAATGCAAATTAACTTAAAATATCTCAGCATTCTGTCAGAATTATTCATCATTCCTAAAATGCGCTAAAAAGGCGTACATATATCCAGCTGGATACACACTACATCTACATGTTCTTAGTTGCACTTCTGTTTATTGATGAATATTTCATTTTATATTCACTAAC